GTTCATTGTGTGGTATACTGATATACAAGGTATGGTTTAGCCAACAAAATTGTTTTACAATCATTTATATTATTCAAAAACAATTTAATGGGAGAACCTTCAGAATTTCTGCTGAATTACATTTTATTTGTAGGTTTTCTACACCGAGAAATTGTTACCTATACAATTGGTGGCGCATCTTTTGTAATTGTTATTACAGTTTGTACATTCTGTCTTTGTTATAAAGAGAAATTACAAGACAAATTTGTAAGATTCTATCCCCATAGCATAGATGTTTCGGGAGCTGGAATCGATCGAATTCCGCAAGATGAACCTCATTATGAAAGCGTTGATGAAGATAACATTCCTGACACGCCAAACTTACTGCGTTATGTAAACAGGCATTCAAAATCATCTTCAGAGACTGACAATATAGCCTTGCTAGATGATGGGTATCTGGAACCTTATCAGTCAGCTGTTGTTCGTGAATATTCTACTACAAATCAACTCATTTCACAGCAGGGCAAAACAAGCAATAGTTCTAGACCGGAAAGTGAAAGTGAAAGTAACACTTCAAGTCATGCTGATTCCTATTTGAATCCGTATCAACCAATTATGAACAACACAGAGACACATGACTATGAGTCAAGTTATCAACACAGTAATTCGCTGGAAAGACCAAGAAGAATTGAAACTGAATTTGAAACATGAGACATACCTAAATAATATTCCTGTTATCCATTTTCCTAATAAAATGTATGAATCTCCTTCTGCTTATTGGGTAAGGGGCCGTAGTGGTAATCCGACGGTTCAATAGTCCGACGGTTCAATGGTACGACGGTTCGATAGTCCGACGGTTCAATGGTCCGACGGTTCGATAGTCCGACGGTTCGATGGTAATATAGGGATTCATTATCACTAGACCAAATTATTCTGTATCTATATGGCATATATTTTCTGGTCTTCATTTGCTTTTAACTATTTTTGCTTTTTTTTCTGGTATTTGTAACCGTTGTATATAAGAACTTTGAGACTGGCAGCCATTTCTGAGATGTGATGGACAAGGGGCAGCAGAGTCCTTTATATACCAAATTTTCATGGGAACTTTCAACATACCAAAGATGTCAATTTAGAAAAAAAATATATTGACATTTCTATTAAAGTAATACAGTGCCATATTTTGACACTTCCTGTGCTTGCATTAACAACCTGGGAACGCACATCACCGTCATTACACACGTGAAAAGTGTGAAATTCATGCATATGGGTTCATCTCTGTCCGTCCGTTTATATACCGTCAAATCGCTATACCGACGTTATCAATTTTGTCAGCTATGGGGTTTCAAATCTGTAGAATGGCTCATGTTATATATATATATATATTTTTTTAAACTGAAAGAATTTAAGAAATTGGTTTTTTTTTTGTGAAAATACATAAAGATCATTGTCCCTTGTATTCTGACTACAAGTAAATTCACATGACAATTTAAAAAATCCCTTAAATGACCGATTGCTGAATATGAAGAATTTTTACATCCATGAAGAAGTTTTGATTGAATTTTGAAGTTCCTAAATAAAAGGAGAATGCATCACAAATATTGTCATTACTTTTCTTAGTTATGTGGGAAAGTCGGAAGAATTGGGAAACAATGAAACCTTTAAATATGAAGATATAATGCAGAAATTATTCGTAGTTTTAGGTTTATTACGTGCATCTGTAGCCCAGTTGGTTTAGACAACGTAGCCATAACAAACATTTGAGAGGTTTTTGTCGAGCCTGTGACTTATGTCGCAGAAAGCTCGACATAGGGATAGTGATCCGGCGGCGGCGTTAACTAACTACTGAAATTCTTTATATTTTAGGAGGTGGAAGACCTGGATGCTTCATACTTTGTATATATAGATGCCTTATGTTAAGAAGTTTCCGTCTGTCATTTGTCCATTGTCCTTGACCTCATTTTCATGGTTCCGTAACTACTTGAAAAAAAAGTTAAGATTTTTTGTAATGTTAATTTCTTTCTTATTATGAGTAATATGATAACTATATTTAGTATGTGCGTACCTTGCAAGGTCCTCGTATCTGTCAGACAGTTTTCATCTGACCTCAACCTCATTTCATGGATCAGTGAACAAGGTTAAGTTTTCGTGGTCAAGTCCATATCTCAGATACTATAAGCAATAGGTCTATTATATTTGGTGAATGGAATGATTGTTAGGTGTACATGTATTTCCGGTTTGGTTTATCTGACCTTGACCTCATTTTCTTGGATAATGTTAATTCTATGTGATATTTGTAGTAAAGCTTTATATTTAGAACTATCAACATAAAATCAATGGTCAGTAAAGCAGGCGAGAAATTTCAGCGTGTGCACTCTTGTTAGAATAGGTTCCGAGTTCGTGTGATCAATATTTATATATATATTGTTGACAGTTTTTTGTGTGATTGTATGCGATTTATGATAATTTTAAGTATCAGCATATTGGTTTTATTTTTATTTAAAAAACACTGTTTTATAATTAAAAAACTCAACACATTGCATGTTTGATTGACTTAAGGCGCTTGAGTCTGTCTCAATTATCGAACTTCACAAGTACGTATATGAACAAAATACGGGAAAAATTGGCCCCAGTACTTTTCGTTGAAGGTACAAATAGTATTAAAAATTGCAGAATTTAATAATTCAAATAAAAATGTATACTTTATGTTTGGTTTAGCACATTGACACGTGTGTATTGTTGGTATATACAATACGCTATATCATAGTGGCGAATGAGATGAGAAATAGCTAAGAGAAGTTTAGATGAGTTGAAAGGGCACAATAAACACCCTAAGTGTGATGGACGGGCGAATATCGGAATATTTATGCCCTCGACTTGTATAATAATGTGTCACCCTGTCGGATTATCGAACTGTCGGACTACCGAATTTTCGGACTATTGAGCTGTCGGACTATCGAACCGTCGGACTATTGAACCGTCGGACTAAAGGGGCGTCGGACTGTCGGGCGGACCCCATTGGGTAATACCAATTTTACAGATATATACTTATATAATAACATTTGTTTTTAAAACAAGATATTGCAAAATATTTGGTATGCATTCAACTTTACCTTCACGAACTTTTGGTTCAGTAGCTTCTCTGATCAGCAACATTCTATCAGGGAACACATCAGATTTGAAACACCCCCTTTGAATATTGTATAAATTTGTAGATATTTATTCCATATGCAGATCCTAATGAAATTTCGTATTATATATGTAGGACTCTAAAGTGCGATGGGGACGCTAAAACGCGATGGTCACGCTAAAGTGCGATGGCATACGCTAAAGTGCGATGGTCTGATACGCTAAAGTGCGATGGTCTGTGCTATTAAGTGGAACACGCTAAAGTCCGATGGCTCAATACGCTAAAGTGCGTTTTTCCGCGAAAGTGCGTTTGTTCGCGAAAGTATGGACGTTTGCAACGATACTATCCTTATGACGTTATAAGCCTTTTGTACAAACAAAAAATGGACGTGCTGTTAAACCAGGATTTGTGTCCAGATGAAGGGTTTATACTTGACAAAAAAAGAAAGAAAAGAGAAACTAATGATCCTAATCCGGAACATTTTTGGTCGGTATTGGAAGAGGTAAATTTGATATGCAAAAAGAAATTTGATGAAAATAGCTGGGGTGCTAAAAAAATAAAGGAGGAACTAAACTTACGAATGGGAGATACAAGTGTTAGAAAGTATTTGGCCAACTTTCTGTATGATGACCATACTTGTTCATTGTACCACAGAAGTACAAAGGTAGGAGACAATCATAGAAGAGTCTTATCTAAAGAAGAAATGATAGTGGAAATTAACAACAATCATAAAATTGATCACCGCAAAAGTGACGCTATTTATGAAACATTAAGGAAATCATATTTTCCCGTAGTTCGTGAAAATACTAGATTACTGTTTAAGCAACATGTAAAATGTTCGCAATGCCTTGCAGCGGTTGATTTACCAAAGACACAAATAACTAGAAAAACCAATACCAGCTACCTATTCCAATAGTAGGTGGCAAATGGATTTAAAGAAGATGCCTCCATGTAAAGGATATAGAATTTAATATCACTAAAGTGGGTTGTCAATTGCACACAAGTCGTAAATAAGATTTTAAATATATCTATTACTTGTTAGCTTATATTGTACCAGTGTATTATAAAGATTTCACATGAAAAATGTCTTTGTAGAAAAATAATGAAGACCAGCAGTCTGAGATGATAGATAATAAATTAACCACTGATTCTGCAACAATTGGTGCATTAAGTACAAATTCTGAGGTGAGTGCGAAAACCTTGTTCTATTTAAAAGCGCATTATTTCTATTAAACAACAAATTAAAACATTGCATAACATAAATTTGTATGTTTAAAATAGGTTAAAATTCCTTCTTGTTACAATACTTGATTTATAAAACATTTTAATTGCATAATTATAGATTAACAGTGAAAGTGTGCATAAAAAAGCTCAAGAAATTGCCAGAATGGATGCAGAAAATGATTATCAGGAATTTGTTGAGTCGTTGTGGAACACAAGAATTACCAACATGATCAATGAAAGTGAATCGGTATGTTACATAACTGTTTATTTTAATTGTTTTCAAATTAAGTCATTTCATATAATTATAATTTAATTGTAATAAGGTTAAAAAAATTGTAATGGAAGATAAAGTACTTGGAATTTGTGTACATAGTACTTGTTTGTGAATGATTATTTGTTTTCTTTACATTTCAGATAATAACAGGAAATGAAACTATAACTAGCAATGTGCATTATATGCAGCCCGAAAATGGCGTTGAAAATGTCGAGGTAAGTATTGCTAAGATGTTTTGATCACTATTAAACGTTTAGATTGGGTAATTGGATTACATTTGAATTTTTAATTCTGAAAAAAAGTTCAATTGGTCACAAAATTTGGTAAATCTTATTATACTTTTAAAATTAATACCCTATTCAAAAATACAAATATTTCTGTCGTTTTAGGTAAATAATACCGTACAGACTTCTGACAGATCGAATGAAATGATACCGTCACAACAGCAGCTCCAAATGTCTCAGCCACTGCAAGATATCACAAATTCACAAATGATGCGCAATACAAGTTTACATCAAGTACGTAAATTTTATAACTTTTAAAAAAGTAGCTCTTAAAAATATAGCCTAAACACTATCAATTTCAATGGAATTTTTAAACGAAATTTATTTCTTTTTTACTGTATGTTGTGTGTTAAGGTATTACGAGTAATTATTCAAACACTTTATACAAATGTAAATAACTATTTATTCATGCGTACTAAGCGTTGTAAATAAGCAGCTATACTTACTTAATAATTAATTTTGTTTTAAAAAGTTAGAATACAAAAATGAGAAGATGTAGTTTGATATCCAATGAGACAACTTACCACTAAAGACCAAATGATATAGACGTTTAGAGCTATTGGTCATAGTACGGCCTTTAGAAATGAGCAAAACCTATACAACATTGTCAGCTATAAAATGTCTCGTAAAACAAATGTAAAACAAACCAAAGGAAAAAACCAACGGCGTAGTTTGTGTACAAAATGTTATGTACGCTTAAAAATTATAGAATATTATTACACCATTTCTTATTTGCTTTCAGTCAGAAGTTAGCCCATATTATAAAGACCTGTATGCAAGGAGATTCATACAACATACTGATTCTGGTATGCCAGGCTTTAAACGCCGTCACTTGGAAACCGAAATTTATATGTCTGAAGTAAGAAACTTATTTATTGTGACAAAATATAAATAATAATCAAGGTGAACGAACAGAGTGTAATCTATTATTTGTTGGTTACGTACAATTGAATGCTAAATCAAAGTATTATGACACTTTTAAGCAAAAAAAACATAATATTTGCATTAATAGCGAAATTTTTATATTTTAATAGGACCTTTGTTTAATTCATAATCACTTGAACAATTTTTTTAATGATTGTTTCAATTTGTTACATTTGTTATTTTCATGCTTTGATTTAATGTTATATTTTATTGTAACTTTATTTTTACGCTTTTCAGAATCGTGAAGAATGGGACAGTAGCATGTATCCGGAGGAGTTGTTCCCCAAAAAAGTATCCAAAATACAGAAATGCAAACCTTTCATCCTGCAGTTAATGAAATTATTGACTTTAAACCAAATTCAGCTCTATCAGCGGGAACAAACGTTTTTCTTTCAGGATATTGGAAGAAAGGTCTTGTTATAAACATTGAAAATGACGACAGTAAGGGGAAGGTATATGCCATAAAAGAGCTTGAAAATGGCAAAATTCATCAAGTTTCTAAATATCTAATTCGTCCAAATTTGATTTAGACAATTATTTTATGAATTCCATGTCATTTAGTTGCGTCAAATAAAGTCTACTTTTTACTTTGTAATTGAATTATTTCATAAAATGTTTTTTACAATAGGTTTTATTATGCAGATATCAGAAGATGTGGCATGAGTGCCAATGAGACAACTCTCCATCCAAGTCACAATTTGTACAAGTAAAAGTAAAAGTATGTTTGTTAAAGAGATTCATATTCGCCAATAAGACAGCAACTTAAAAACTAGAGATGTATTATCATAATATGATTGCCAATGAGACAAGTTTGTGAAAGAGACGAATACTGGTCATCAAGACAGTAACGAAACGACCAGAGATTAGTATCATACTATGATTGCCAATGAGACAATCTCTATCCAAGGCTAAATGTCATTAATTCTAATTAACTATAGGTTACCGTATGGCTAACCCCGCAGATATTAATCTATAAGTTAACGCCCAAAGGGTATTAAACGACAATTGAAACGGTCTGATTTATATACAAAATAAAAAACAAAAACAAATGCGGTGTACTTGTCAACGAAACAACTATACACTTAAGACCAAATTTCGTTGGTGTATGCACCTAATTACATTATGACCTTCAACATGGAGCATTAAATAAGGCTATATAGGACAACACAATAACTAGTGTAAACAATTCAAAAGACGGCATGATTCATAAATAATACAATAAAATAAAAACTATTATAAACACATAAAAAACAAAAACCATTGCATTAACCCCATTCCCGTTTCAACATCGGATTAATGGTGTGTTATACCAACGCACTTTATCGTGTCATATACCATCGTACTGTTTCATGACATACCATCGCACTTCAGCGTGTTATACCATAACACTTTAGCTTGTCAAATACGATCGCATTTTAGCATGCCGGACCATCGCACTTTAGCGTGTTATACCATCGCACTTTAGCGTGTCTTATACCATCGCACTTTAGCGTGTCATACCATCGCACTTTAGCGTGTCTTATACCATCGCACTTTAGCGTGTCATACCATCGCACTTTAGCGTGTCTTATACCATCGCACTTTAGCGTGTCATACCATCGCACTTTAGCGTGTCATCTATGTGCACTAAAACAAACAAACAACCATCGTACTTTAGCGTCTAACACCATCGCACTTTAGCGTAGACCATCGCACTTTAGCGTGACAATCGCACTTTAGAGTACCATCGCACTTTAGAGTCCTACATATATATATATGGTAAGTTACTATAGGAATAAGTAGGGCACATCTTTAATACTGTGTCATCAAGTTTAGTTATCTTTGTCAATTACAAGGTCAATGTATGAAGCAGACCTACACCGAATGTAGCTATGTCAGTGGTATCCTTTATTTCACCTTCAATGGAATAAATGCACTACAGGTATCACGATGGTCATTCTTAAGTGAATAAACAGCATCTAAATAACTGGAGATGGAAATTTCTTACTTCTTTTATTCATCTTATTCATCTTATCTATGAATATAAAAATAAGAAGATGTGGTACGATTACCAATGAGCCAACTCTCCACAAGAGACCAAATGACATACAAATTAACAACTATAGATCACTGAACGGCCTTCAACAATGAGCAAAACCCATTCCGCACAGTCAGCTATAAATGGCCTTGAAATGACAAATGTACAACAATTCAAACGAAAAAACTAACGGCCTGATTTATGTACAAAATAATAAACGAAAAGCAAGTACAATGTACAGCAACAAACGACAACCACTGAATTACAAGCTCCTAACTTGGGACATGCACATACAGAATGTGGCGGGGTTAAACTAGTTGATGAAGCCTGTCCATAAGATATATGTCTTGCCGTCTTGCTTGTTTGTAATTTTGATAGTATAATGCAAATAATGAATTTTAAAATGCAACATATTAAAATGTAAACTATGGAAAACCTTCAAATAAAGGCACCATGAACTAAAATGCAGGGCAAAAAAAACCTGTAGAATGTTAATAAAATTGCATACCATATATCATTGACTTATCACAAGTAGCTCCACTAAAACAAAGATAAGTACAAACTTTAACATGTAAATTATGCAAAATTTCAAAATAGATTCATTTAAAATATGGGATGGGGTCAAATTAACTTCTTGGATATGAGATGTGCAAATTCTAGGACAACTTCATTCAAATATCATTTCCTTTAATGGTTCCTCTAAGACTGACCTGGTCACAACCTTCTACATGTGAATAAGCAAAACAGTTTTAAAGTCAATATACCATGACTTATGGGTTGAAATCAAATAATCTCCATGGAAATATGTTGTGCCAATGTAAAAATAGCTGTATACTAGATATCATTGACTTAAAAAAACAATACAAAATTAAAAAAAATTCTCAAAAATTCATTTTCATCTGTATGTAAAATTATTTCATATTTTTCTACACCTGATTCATCCATCAGTTTGGGAAAGTATGTGCAGTTGATACTGTATTTTTTGTCCAATCATAATGTTCAGATACATTGACTTAAGTAGGGTACACAAAAGAGCAACCTAAATTCTGGAATGCAAATACTACCGTGCTACCTTAACCAAGACATTTCAAACTTGAAATCAGTCATGACACCTATGATGCATAGCCTTCTTACTATGTAACATATTACAATAAAGAATACTAGTCTGCACTTATTTTATACCAAAAAAAAATGAAAGATTACACCCCTACCCCAGCTGGCAGATTTTCACTTTTTTATCATCTTACCATTTTTACTTAAGGAGTGAACAAAATCCAAATATATGATGTTTCAAATCAACACAGAAGTCAAACATGGTGATTCAGGAGGAATTATTGGATTGACAACTCTATTTATAGTTAATCTGACTGAAAGAAACAGTTTAAGCACCAAATCATGAAAAATGATATTAAAGTCCATTCCACATTTTACAGCATGCCTTACATTACTTTAAGCATTTCCAGATTATGAAGGCAACACAACAAGATTCTTTGGATGGCAGTTAACTATTATTCTAAAATCTTTTTGACAATATATGTACTAGAATATATCTCTAAGTTGACTGTTTGTCTATTTCTCATGTATGCATTAAGTTAAATTATGTCCCCTTACATAATCATTTTACTTTTATTGTGCTTTTCATTGTCAGAAAATCAAAACAATTAATGACATTTGCATGGAAAAAGAATAAACTATTCAATCTTGCTGATAAACAGTCATAATTACATTCTTTGTCAAAAAAAATGTCTTGTCAGTTTAAAGAAACCCCTATTGCTATCTCTATTTCAGCCAAATATGAGGGCTAAATGAATAAGTAAGGACCCCTTAACCACTTGCTGGTTCCAAAAAAGCTCATACTGGTGTCATGTTACCACAGAACTACAAATTAAACCTAAAGAAAACTTGTAAAGCTGTACTTGTGTGGAAAAAAATAAGAAATTATGCAATTTATTTATTTCGGTCAAAATAATAGGATGTACAGGCAAATAAAATATGTCGCGTCTCAAATTTCAGTGGTTGCACATGTTTCAGACACTGCGATAAGTTAAAGCGAGCATTTATAATTAAAAATGTATTGCAAGTTACATAAAAATAATGAAGTTCTACTTTCTAGGTAAATTTTTACTTTATTACCCACAGATCAGGCAAAATTTGCTGAATCAGCAATTTTCACTCCCAGGGGTGGAATTTAAGGGCTGTTTTTATCATAGTTGCCCTTAATCAACTTTTTATTGATAAACTTACAAATTGCATAGGTAAAAAAAAATCCTTCATTGATTTAGTGTAAACATGTATATCCCCCTTAAGGTGGCACGGTAGTATTTCCTGGCCCATAAGGGATAATGATAGCCTTTTTAGAATTTTCACCACTTTCTAACACTGCTAAAAATTCTACATTCACAGTTAACTGAAGTACTTTCATTTTACTATTCAGAAATGAATTTGAATATGTATCATGACCGTTTACTTTTTTTGCTATCTTTAAGAACCTAAGGCCACTAATGCTTTTAGGTCTTTTATCGTGCAGTGAATACAAAATTAAAAAAAATTCTCAAAAATTCATTTTCATCTGTATGTAAAATTATTTCCTATTTTTCTACACCTGATTCATCCATCAGTTTGGGAAAGTATGTGCAGTTGATACTGTATTTTTTGTCCAATCATAATGTTCAGATACATTGACTTAAGTAGGGTACACAAAAGAGCAACCTAAATTCTGGAATGCAAATACTACCGTGCTACCTAAATCTCGCCTCTTCATGTTTGTCAAGACAAGACAAAAAAGACCTATGATGATATCAGGACATGCAGAGCTTATCTAACACTTGTAATGTCGCATGTATCAAGGTAGTATCAAAAACCATGTTGTTAAAAAAAAACAAATGACACATGGCAAAAATTCATACGATGAAAAGCTCTATATAAAACATTTTTGATGAACATGAACCCAACCAAAAAAATGGGACTGAACTCACAGAAAGGGTAAGCGGTTCCTGCAACCAGACAATTAAACAAACCACATAAAGATAATGTTGCTAATCAGGATAAATCTGTGCCTTCTGTGTACAACACAGAAACTATGTTATTGTCATAAACCCCTAAACAAAGAAGCATTATGCATCATTTCTTGTGTATGTAAATAGGACTTGGTATACATTAGTATATAAAAGCTGATAGTCTAATTCAATAAATATTGGACTACCATCATCATTGTGCAAATAACACAGTTGTCTAATCAACTGGAGAAAGGATTAGAAAAAAATATTCA